GGCCTGGCGGCCAAGAGCAAGCGGCTGATGGCTCCGGGCTGGGGCTGGGCCACCAGGGCCGAGCCGAGCTCTCCCTTCACCCCACGCCTCCCCTGCCCCTCTCGCTCACGCTCCTTTCTGTCACCCTGTCTCCCCTTCCTTACCTCCTTTCTTCCCCATCTTCTCTCGGCCCTCCCTCCCTCCTGTCCTCTTTCCCACCCAGGGGCAGGGGTGGGACCTGACCTGGGCCGATGACAGGACATCAGCAGAGCCCAGCTCCCACTTCTGCAAATGCTGTCTGCCGGAGAGGACAGCTGCACGGCCCACGGCGTCTGGATGTGGCCTCGGGCTGCCCCAGTTGGATGCGGCCAGACAGGGCTTCCTGAAGGCGGATCCAGAGCAATAGGCCTGGGTGCCCCCTTCTGTCCATCCGCATCCACCTGCTCAAGCCCCCACCAACACCAGGCACCTCTGTGGCAAGTTTATTTTGTTTAAAACATCAACTCTTTGTTTTGTTTTGTGGTACTGGGATTGAACCTGGGGCCTAGGCACTGAGCCGCATCCCCAGCCCTCGTTATATTTTATTTTGAGACAGGGTCTCGCTAAGCCACTAAGTTGCGAGGGCTCAAAACTGTGATCCTTCTGACTCCTCTCTTTTGCCAAAGAGGATCCTTGACAGGGTGGATGGGGCCAGGGCCTGGAGCCAGTGAGGCCCTGGGCCTGCAGGATAAAGGGACCAGAGAGGGAGAGAGCAGGGCCAGGTCAGCAGCCATAGGTCATAGTGAGGACTTTGGGCTTCGGCCTCAGAGCCAGCAGGAAGCTGATCCCCTGCTGAAGAGGTGGGTGTTGTGGGCTGACTTGGGCTTCAGTGGGATCCCTGGGCTGGGGGAGGAGGTGTAGGGCAGGTGGGAAGGAGCAGGGAGGGTCAGCTGGGACCACTTAAGCAGCAGGCGACAGGGTTGGGTGGGCAGCATAGACCGATGGGCTGGACCTTTCAGGCATCTGAACTCTGGGCCTCAGTTTCCCCATCTCTAGGATGGAAGGGGCATGTCCAGCCGCTGAGCCCAGGGCAGAGTAACGGCTGATTACAGCAGGCTGGGTGCACAGGTCCCCCGCAGAGCGAGGCCTTTTGGGACACGGACAGGGCGGAAGGTGAGCCAGGGTCTTGCCCTCAGGCTCTGGGGTGGCATTTGAGGAAGAACGGCACTGTGGTGGGCATGTGTTTCCTGGGGGCTGGTGTTTGAGGCTGGCCTGGGCCACCACTGGCTTCACAGTCCCCGACCCTCCCCAGGCCTAGAGAGGAGAAGAATAGGCGGCTTTTCCTTTCCAAGGGCTGAGCAAGGGACTCAGTGACAGGAAAGCACAAATCGGGTTTGATCCCTGAAGCTGCTGGGTGCTGTGCTCGAGCTTAGAAACACTGGAACCACTTCAGCCAGCACAGATGGCCCTCAGGGTCGATGCTGTGGCCACTCTGTCCACACAGTGGGGCTGGGAGATGCAGAGGAACCGGGAGACCTGCAGGGTACGGGGCCTAGCGGCCGGGGTCCTCAGTGTCGCTCAGAGCTGGGGTTGGGGTCCTGCCCAGCACCTGCCTGTCACGCACGGGGGCTGCAGAGGAAAATGGCTCCCCACGGATGTCCCCTTGGGAGAAAGTTCTGACCCGAATGCTGGCTTGTCTAAATCAGGGCCCCCCAAAAGTCCACGCTGTGAGGGGCTCATGCAACATGGATTCCACATGTTGGAATAACTCTATTATCTGTCCCTGCTTCCCCCTGTGTGTCTGTCTGTTTCCCTCGTTGAGCTGGGCCCCACAGACACTGGTGCCAGGCACCGCACACGTGGGCGTATGAGGACGTGAGCAGCCATTCTAGTCAAGTCCGGGCTGGGCGGTGAGGTGTGAGGCCAGAGAGCTGGTGACTCCGGATGTGCGCTTGGCCCGTGTCAGGACAAAGCCCCGAGCAGGAGCCAGGGCTCAGACCCCGCCACCCCCCAGGAGGCTTCGCCTGACTCCCTGCTGGACTGTGAGCTCCTGGGGTGCCAGTTTACCGGCTCTGGTCCCGAGCACCCAGCATGGGTGGAGGGAAACGCGGCAGGTGGGGGCAGGGGAAGCACGCACGGTGTCTGTGCCAGGAGACCTGTGGGGACAGCA